CTAGCAGGAACCTTTCACTTGCTGAGAAAAAGCTAACCACGAACTCAGCAAAAGCACTGGCCAGTCCTGCTTACCACGGAGTGCAGAGAGGCAATTTTTCTAGCCAAAATCAGAGATGGTACAGTGACTGTACTGGATAAGCTATTCCTTCAGTTGTTACATATCTAAGGAGTGAGACCAGCGCCACAGAGAACTTCAAAGAAGATGGAATTCCCTCCCAGAAATCCAGTGGCAGGGCACTGAGTGGAAAGGGAATTGGTCCAGCCAGTCCCACGCCTGGGAACTCAAGTAATCTCAGCAAGGAAAGTATTCCTAACCACAAGAAAAACCCTGCTGTCCCTAATGACAGTGCAGCATCTGGTGAATGATGTGGCACAACACATTTGCAATGAGACCACTGTTGCAGACAGACAGTGATTCATTCAGAATGGCAACGCTAATCCTGATCTGAGAACTCCAGTTGCTTCAGCCCACAGTGTTAGCAGGGAAACCAGTGGGGTCTTAAACCACTTCCCAAAAGCCAGTGTCTTAGCGCTTTCTGTGTCCCAGAGTGAGGAACTGCAATATACAGTGGCCCGCTTTCCTTATCCAGCTTGTCTCCTGAAATCATGCCCCTGTTCCACACACAGAATTAGGGCTCCACTATTTTGTTTTTAGTAAGTTAACTTTCAAATTCTCAAGATGTTGCAGTGTACCTGCAAAGGGATAAAGGCAAAGAAGCAAAACTGTGTTTAATGCACTTCACCTGGAGCATGAAAAACGCTGGTTCCCTGGATCTCACGGATATGATACAGGAGATCTGCAAAGTGCTGGATGCTACAAGCTGCAGCTGTGAGCAGAGAAAGCTCTTGCTGCTCTTCCACATCCAAGGCTTCGGGCACACAGAGAACCTGGTTCAGTGGGAGGTGGAAGCCTGTAAGCTGCCAAGACTGTCTCTCAGCAGCCTTTGCTTCTCTTTAAGTAGAAATCTGGGGCATTTATGACTTTCCAAAATATTGCTTCCCGAATTACCAACGAGCTAAGGAGTAACCCAACAATTCTGGTATAAATTAGCAATTGAAAGTGTTTTCCGAAAAAACAATTAAATTATATATTTAAGGTTCTTTGTACACATTTTAAAATCAGTTTGAAATTTCTACAAAAATCCTGGTGGAATTTTGATAGAGATCCAATTTAATTTGTAGACCAATATGGGAAAAATTCTCAATTGAATTATCTGAGTGGCTTAATCTGTGAACACTGTAGGAGTATCCTTTACTTAGACCTTTGATTTCTGTTAACAAAGTTCTATATTTTTCATTGTACTGGTCTTGTTCTTCTTTAAACAAATCAATTCCCTCCTCACTTACTTTATGGGACACTAATATGAATGCAGTTGTTATCCTGATTTCATTTTGTGGCTATTTAATGCTTACACTTTCTGACCTTGCTAAAACTCATTTTTCAGTTTTAACAGATTTTTTGTTTTCTTAAATTTTTTATATGTAGATCATATAATCCCTGGATAATGACATTTTTACATCTTTGCTTCTTTGAATGTCACTAGTCTATTCATTAATTTGCATAATTGCACTGTCTGTTACCTCCATGTTTGATTGAAACCATGTAAGCAATCTTCTTTGCCTCATTTCAACTAATGAGAAACAGTCAAGTCTTCTGTCAAGTAGGATGGTAACTGTGTCAATAGATACCCTTTCTAAGACTGAGGATGTTCAAACTTATTTGTGATTTACTGAGACTTTTATCAAGATTGAATGTTAGGTTTGTTAAATATATTTTATTGAGATGCTATGTTATGTTTTTCTTTTTTATTAATAGATTATTTTTATGAACTGATTATCAGATGTTAAAATGACCTTGTATTTCTGGGATAGATCTGATTTTCATAGTTATTATTTTTTTATTTCTTGCTGGATTCATTTTGCTGTTTTGCTAACAAATATTTTGCCTTGATGTTTCTAAGAAAAATATACCTCTGAGAAATTATTTCATACCCACATTTCTCTTTGTTATCAGCTTAATCAGTGGCCTCATTAAATAAAATGGGTTGAGTTTTTTCATTTCATTGGAAAATGCTTGGGGTAGAGATCCAATTTAATTTGTAGATCCAATTTAATCTGCCAATTTCTTCTTTAAAGATTTTTTTGAACTCACCTGTCATTTCCACTTGCATTCAGAGTTTTGTTTTTAGAATATTTCACCTACTAACTGAGTTTGTTAGGTCTAATTAAAGATAAATGTGTGTAGAGATCGCTTCCACCCCCACACAGTAGGCAACATCTCAGCAAGCAAGTATGTAACTTTTCCCTGTGGTCACAAAGAGGTAAAAAACGCTGTAGAGATAAAACATTCTGTAGAGAAGAAACATCGTCTATCCCTGTTGTGTGTGTAGTAATGGGTGGGTGGCTGGGTGTTGGTGGTTGAAGAACTCTTAAGTCTGGCTGCAAGCTATCATAGAAGCAAGTAGGGCAAAGGGCTTGATGTTGTAATCACTTTCTAATTGCTAAGACACAATTCTGTACATCTATGGTTTAAGGAAAAGGTGATTTATTATTCTGGTGTTTCCAGGCAGGCTTTCTTCTGGTCAGCATCTTCCTGTTCCTGCAACCTCTTTTCCCCTTTTCTCCCCTCTGTCTCATCTTTCACCCTTCATTTTCAGTAAGTGTTATGCTCTTCACCTAAAATTCTTGAATTTAAACACTCTTATGTTTCTATTTCTTCACAAAATAGCCTCCAGGTTCAAGCTACCATTTGAAAGATGTAGTTGTTCGACCTGTTGGTGATGGTGGATGAGACTCTTCAGGCAAATTTCTTTAATGAACTTGGATCAGTCTCCCCATTTTTAGCTGTGTCTTCCCCTTCATTTTCCATCAAACCTAGTGAATAAATATGTCGGTAGCTCTGGGGCATAAAATGACTTGTTATAGCCATTCCCACATGCAGGCATGTGACATTCAGCTCTCCTCTGGTGACACTATTGGATTTTTATCTTCTAAAAATATATGCTATTGATCATCCGCTAGTATCTCCTTTTATCTCTGCAGTTATATAATGTTACATTAGTAGAATTTTGGAAGGCAGAACTATATAGCTGTGTTCATTCTGCCAGCTTAATTAGAAGTTAAAAAATTATTTTCCATTTATTATTGACTTGGTCTCAGCTCTGAGGCCAACAATTATTATTAATAAATTGACAAAATGTGTGTAGAAATATTAGTTGACTAAAAGTAAAGCTAATAATATTTTACATATATATATATATATATATATATATATATATATATATTGCCACCAGCCATAATGACTATTGCTTATTGTAAGAATCAATAATCAGCATAAGGTTATGTTAGTGATATTTTCCCATCACAAGGTGAAGATTATACAAATTATTCATTCATCACTGATGCCTAATTCATAATTCCTACCACCAAGTAGACTTTGTGCTTTTTGATTTACTTTTTCATTTAGTATTAGGTCTTTTTGTATTAGGCCTTTTGTAATAACGTCTATCATTATACCCTTTTCAACTTGATTTTCTAGTAAGCCAGGCCTTTATTCAGATAAAATGGTAATAATCATTAACTGCTACTACCACTGCTGCTGCTGCTGAAGTACCATTGCTATTATTAGTTAATAAGAGATTTGGTCCAAACAGTAAGTGGCAATGCCTTAGCTGTGTGTGTTAGAGATTCTGATGCAGTTTAGGGAAAGTGTTTTAGCATCCTGGAGTTAGATTACAGAGTTTGAGAAAAACAATTAATCAATTGCAGTCTTGTCAAGCTCTCTGAGGAATCTGGAATCTTATGTGTTATGGGAGGAGAAGAAGGTCTGAGTCTAATATCTTGGTTGTAATGTATTTCTCTCTTTCTTACCAATGCCCTAAACTATTAATTTTTAGAATTTATTTGTAAGACTATTTGTTAATTCAGTTTCCTTGGCATTACCTAGTGGAAGAAAAATGCAACTAAGTGCTTGGAAAATTTCCACTTAGAATACAAAATGAATGGGGTTTTTCTTTACTACAATTTTTATAATAAATTAATATTTGCAAGAATAAAATAATTTATTTTCATTAACTATCATTGAATCAAACTTTTGTGTTTTCCCTCCCTACTTTAAAAAAATTTTTCTGCTTTATTTCTTGCATCTTATTTAGTAAGTGAATTTTAAGCTTTTTTATAACACTCAACCATACGTATTTGATTTTAATTGAATTTGATAATGTTTAGATTAAAGAAAATAAGTTTCCTATATTTATGCATTGACTAAACTTTCAACATTAAAACAATGAAAAAGTTAGTTAAAATACAAATGTTCTACTGTCTCTTCAATGTTTACTCGGAAAAGAAAACTGTGCTTATTTTGTTTTTGTCCAAATTCAAACTAAACAGAGAATGACTTCTAAAATGAAATCTTACCTATCTTAAGAAGATAAATATACAATTATGGTTACTTTTTTTGGCAGCTTTCATAATTTTTGAGTTAAATTACCTTTACATGTTTTTCTGTTTTACTTTGATTTTAGGAAAACATTATCTATATAGTTATTTCATGACATGAAAGAAAATTGCGTATACTTACTCTTTTCTTTTATTCCCTCTCGGAATACCTTACTACGAAGAAGCAAGTATTCAGTATGCAAACAAATGGTCATGTATAGTAAGTAAAGCAAGAATATTGTAAGATAGGGTTACACTGTCTGTCTGAAATGATATGAAGAAAAAAATGTCAAGCTACATTGTGTAAATCAGGATATTAACAACAGTAGATAGAAAGCTGTAATGATTATTTGACATTTAAACTGAAGCTATAATGAACACAGGGCATCAATTACTTACAGTGCCAGGACAATATAATTCCAGAAAAAGACACAACTCTTGCTAAAGTTTCAGCTACGCAAAAAGCTTGAAGTTTATGAGATATGCAAGTTCAGTGAGTGAATGGGGGAATGGCTTGGGAGGAAATCAGAGACAACTACAAAGTAAACATGAGCCAGATAATCGCAATCCTCCATGTTGGTAGGTGGATTTTATTTTTAGTGATAAACCAGATTAAATGAGTGACACCATCATTTAGTGAGTATTGATCAAGGGTTCCTGTGATGTCTGGCAAGTGGAGGCATCTATATAGCAACTCAGAAGACTGATTATGAGGGTGACACAGGGAATCAGGCCAGTGATGATAGCTATTGAGAAAAGGAGGTTTGAAGTCGATACGAAGAACACTGCTGTCACAAGCTACAGTAACTGAGCTTTTGAAGGGCACACGCAGAATACCAAAGAAAAGTCCTCCCGGAGAAGAGGCCACATAGGAATCTGTCTTCACTTTGTCCCAGAAAAGTGTCACTGTCACTGCAAAATAAAAATGGAAATTTCTAAATCATTTTATACCCATTTTGAAAAATAAAAACCCGTTTTCAGAATAAAGAACAGTGATTTGAAAATAATGGGATATATTTTAAATGAAAATAGCTTTGTGTGGTATCTACAGTCCTGTTTATATGCAGTACGTATACTGTATATAGGTGCTCTGTATATAGGTTATAAATAGGTATATGTAGGACTATACAGCAAGAGCTTCAGAATGAGCTTCTTCTTTGATTAACACAGCTGGAAATATACCTTTAGTGAGATTTCTTGGCATTGAGGCACAGTGTTAACACCTACAACTTGAAGGAGGAGAGATTGAATTTGCTGAGTATCAGTCTGTGATTGGCTGGCTCCAAAGTAAGTATATCAGGGTGCAAACACATGGAGGACCAAAGCCAGCTACTCATGGCAGTTGGGAAGCAAAGCAGGGGACCAGTGTCAGAACAGAAGAGGTGAGGAAACAAACACAGACCACAGGCCATGCTTCCATGACCCACTCACGTATCCTTAGAAGGTCCTCCCGCAGTCCCCAGGGCAGATTCCAAAGCCAACATAAAGTTGAAATTCCACCCTGACTCTATAGCTACTTCCCCAGGAGTCCCCCAAAACTGTCAAATTCTTTCTTTTTTGCGCCTACTACTGTCTGTCTTCTTGCAGTTTATGCATGCTGCATCTCACTCTTGAGAAAGCATTTCTGATTTATTCCTGTCCCTTTCTCAATATGTGGAAACGTTTTTTTCATTTAAACATCCAGTAAATATTAATTGTATTCATACATATTATGATTGGTTTATTAATGAATAAATAAGGCTTTTCTTTTGAAATGCTAACTTCTCTTTGTCTGTCTCTGTCTCTACCTCTTTCCTTTCTCCCTCTCTTTCTCTCTCTCTCTGATCAAGTAAATCCCTTGATTTCTTGACAATATATTGTTTTGATGGACAAGGGAGTAATTAAAGAGTGTTAGTCCCATTTATATCAAAATGAAGTACAGATTGGCAAATACACTTACTACATAGACATGTACCTGGCAAATATTAATAAATATAAAGTATTTTATTTTACCATCATTTAACTGAGCTGGCTAATGCTTAGTCATATTTTAGAGGCACAAAGCTAATTGTAATGAGAGTAAAAATATCAATTTTTTAAGCTTGTCTGTATTCGCTAATGGATTATTTTGTCTTGAATTTTAAGCATTAATTCTACCTTTTGATACAGAACATTGTAGAATGTAAGATATTTAACCCTATATGTATCCTTTAGACATCAAATTTATAATAATTACAATAAAATTTGCCCTACTCATGATGTGTGTAAACTGAAATCTTAAGTTTTAGTTTATGAATATTAATTGAATATTTCACTAATGTGATATATTTTGCATTTCTCATTTAGTGTGGACACACATCTGCATACTTCTCAAAACAAGCACATAAGATATATCTATGATAAAAGGTAGACTAGGTCTTCAGTATAGTTTTGCTTGTCTACATTGTAATTGCAACAAAACTTCTTACCATAGCCACCCACATATTTTTAAATTTTTATCTTTTAAAATCATGCTCCCCCTACCTGGAATGTAATTTGTAGTGTTACACCTGCTGAAAAAGACATAAAAGATAAATCACATAAAAAAAATTATTGCTGGGGCTGGGGATTTAGCTCAGCGGCGTAAGCACCTTGCCTTGCAAGCAGGCAGTCGTGAGTTCGATCCCCGGTACCGATAAAAATGAAAAAGACAAAAAAAGAAAAGAAAAGAAAATTATTGCTAAGTTGGATGTCTAAATAGCATAAAATTGAGAAAAGTGTTTTGGCTTGATATGTTTAGAAAGCAGACTTAACAGTTATCAACAAATTGTTCTAGGAGCAGTTAGAAATTTAAGAGAACATGAGTTGATAGGAGAGTGTGGTTTCCGAGTAAGTGCCTTTTCCAGGCTAAGCCATACTGACCTTAGAAATGATTCTGGAGTCTTAATGATACAGTAGATATGATGATAGTCTTCAGTCATTATTCTGGCTTGCTTACTTACTGTGTATGTCTTCAGTGTACCACCCATCACTTCACCCCTAAGACACACACACACACACACAGACACACGCGCACACACACACACACACACACACACACAAACACACACCCCTTCCAGAACAAGATGTTGTGTACGTCTTAGAAGAAGAATAAATTTTTTAAAGAAAATCATATCGAATTTATACATTTGCTACTTTGTGGTAAATTTTTAAATGTGTTGTAATTATAGAAGAAATTTAGTAGCTCAGGGGTTAGTAAAAATGCAAAGTAGATTTTTTTGCTTTTAGACATAGTACTTCTGGTTAAACAATTCAACTTTGTTTTACTCAACGTTGTTTCATAGCAACAAATATTATCCCTCTGCTCTACTTTAGTAAATAATCTGGAATCTTTTAGACACAGATGCTCATAAGCAAGAAAAAAATTCATCTGAAATTAATTATAATATTCAAAATAGGTATGGTATGCCTTAAAATTAGCCAGTTAGTTGGAGAAAATAAATTCAAGGAGCTGATAATATTCTTAGCTTTAAAAATAATGACACATTATTTCTAGTTTATATATTCCAAGAAAGGAGAGACTTTCCTTCTAAGTAACATGCCCAAAACATTCCTTGGCACATAGTAGACATTCAATAAAAGATATAAAAATAACAATATTTCTCTCCTTCACTCTTTATTTTATTGACAGCAGACAGCTGACTAGCACACTGATTTTTCCCTGTGTGCTTCAAAATTATTGTAAACATTGTAAGAGCAACTTTATAGGGGTTTATTATCTGTGTTTAAGTTTGGGGTCTTATTTTTTATCATTATCCACAATTAAAGAAAAGCTCACTGAGCTTAATTAGTTACTGGGACATCACAAGGGACTCTTGGGGAATTAAACCTGTCAGAGTTATGCTTCAAGAACAGTGAGATGCTGATATATATGGGATGCATCAGAAGAGAGAACAGAGATAAGGAAAACAGATTTCAACTTTAATTTTCAACAAGAACATAATGGAAACACGAACCCTAGGAGTAGCACCAGTAGGGCCCCAGAGAAAAGAGTGGATGCGTCACAGTATGTGACCATGGTGGTGCAGAGCATGACAAGATTACTCGGAAATGCCACTTGGTCCAAACACCAAAAGGCCCAGAGGGACTCTCAGAAAGAGGGAGTCTCACAGGAGCAGTCCCTGTCCAGGAACACTCTGGTTTTTATTGCAGAGAATTCAGGAAGAAAAACAGCTTGGGTGAGCAGTTGCCTCAAAGAACAAAGTCTGCTAGATGACATTCTTTAGGTTAATCTGAGCAATTCATCAGACAGGGGAAAGGACACTGGCCAAACATAGCATGCGTCCCAAATCTGTAACCATGCGTTTCCAGGGCCTACATGCTTTTGCCCCGTTAGGCCACTTCATGACCATTCCTCTAGCCAAGCCCTTCACACGGGAGAGCCTCTAATCTCATTCACCATTAGTTTTTACTTTAGTTGTTGTGACATTTCTTACTTTGATCTTAACCTACTACTGGCAAAATCATATCTACAAGAAAAAATTCATATATCCAAAGTCATTTTACTATTTTAAAACTCAGAGTTAATGATGATTTCATTCCAGAATAAATGGTTACTTTGAAAATTTTGTTATGATTATAAGAAGTTATATGTTAAAATTGAAAATGCATAAATCTATAAAAAAGAATACAATTACCTTTATCCTACAATTTGGAAAAATTAATTGTTGTCTCTTTGCTGCATATCTGTTACTCTGAGGCTATATACAGATGTGCATGAGGTTGGCTTGTATTTAAATTTTGTTTTGTGGACAATGATACTATGCATCTGATCATTGTGTTGGTGTGAGTGTAGTATGTAAATATAAAACACCATTTTTCATATAATATATCATGAACCATTTTTGTTTATATGATAGAACTTTATCATAATTTTATAGTGCCATTATATTACTTTATGGAATAAGTAAAGGCTTCAACCATTTTTTTTATTTTAAAGACAATAATTAAAAATAGCATTAATACAGCTACAAAATAGATTAGTAGGAGAGTCACAGTAATTAATACATTGCATACTATTGTCTTTATAGTAGTTATTCAGAGTACAAAATAAGGGCATTTTATTTGTCCAAACAATATTAGCGTACCTTTCTTTTCAGTGAAATAAGAGAAAATATAACTGTATAATTATCGTAACTATTTTATGTATACATATTTCTTCTTTCTCCTTTCACCTTTCCCTCTCACTGTTTCTCTATTCTTTTGTATAGTTTCTTCTTAATTTACAATATTTATCGTATATTTCAGATCTTAATTACTTAATCACTTTCTCACACTAGTGAAACAACACAGTATTTACATATATCTAATTTATTTCACTTATGAGTATTGTCTCAAATTGTATCCATTTACCTTTAAAAGTTTCCAGTTTATTGTTCTTTATGGTTAAGTAGTACTCTAATATATTAAAAAAAAAAAAAAAACCCTCATCCTTTTTATCCATTCCCCTGTTGATGGACATTTGGCTTGTTACAAAATTTAGCTATTACAAATTGTGCTGCTACAAATATGGATGCACATAAATCACTGTGGTATGATGTTTTTAATTATTCTGGGAATACATCCAGAAGGAGAATAGCTAGGTCAAATGGGACCTGTAATCATATTTGGTTGAGAAATCTCCATGCTGATTTCCACAGTGGTTGCACCAGTCTACACTCTCAGCAGCACTGGAGAAGGATTCATTTCTTACCCACAGCCCTGCCAGCATTGTTTATTTTTGGTGTATAGACTATTTTCATATTAATTATTATGTAGCCAGACTCACTGTGAGTTTGTGCATACATCCAACATATTATATTACTTCTGTTGGATGGGAAGTTTAATTCCAAAGTAAATGAGCTGTCTATGCAGAGGGTTACTAAACTCCTTTTAGCTTGTAATACAGTATTTTATGTGAATAACCTTTCCATTTTTTATTCACACCAGGATTGAAAGGGATTGTAATTTCTTTCACACTGGCTGTCATCCAATATATATTAGTACGTGTTCTTTTTGACTGTTCATTTCAAGATCTTTGCCTATCTATCTACTGAAGCACCAATTTGTTTTTGTTAACATATTCTCACAACAGGTTGAGAAATATTAGTGCTTTTCATCCATTATGTATATTTCAAATAGTTTTCCTATCTTATCATCTTTCATGTTTTCTAGAGTTTCCTATGATATACATACAGTATTTCACATTTTATTTTTATATTCATCTTTTTAGCCTAAGAATAGAAATGGAACTTTTTTCTGCTATTTAAGTTTTATATATCATTTGCTCTTGTGTAATTTTTTTTGAGACAGATCTTATTATGTAGTTCAGGCAGACCTTGACCATAGATATACCAAGGGTGACCTATTTTCAGCCTTCAGAGTGCTAATAGGCATGTGCCACCACACTAAGCTTTCTATTGTGAATTTTATGTTTGTTTTCCTCTCATTGATCTAGAGGCAGTGTTTTCCCTGACACATACATGGTTACAGTTATTTTTCATTTCTAAATTTGAAAGTACAAGAGTAATTTGTCTTAACACTTTAAAGAGTACTTACTGAAAACTCTGTTAATATCATCCCTTTTTGTTAAAATTCTTTTCATTTATTCCTCTGTGTTGCATAACAGAATCATGAGGCAGCACCACTTGTGAATAGTCCAATGGATCCTAGCAGGTGTGGTCAGCTTAGGTCTTGACTCCCCAGTTGCAGTCAGTTCCTGATTGCTTGTGGTTTTGGACTCTTTAGCAAGCACTGGTTACCAAAAGCCATTTATGGTATTTCATAGTAGTAGTGACCAAAAATATAATTGTGTACTTTTCTCCTCTGTTTTATTTAGCTCTTAGTGACAAAATATATTTAAGGTGTAAAGTGTGATATTTTGATTTGCATTGTGAAATGGCAACCATAAGCTAATTAATAATACATCCATTAACTGGCATGATTGTAATTTTTATAATCAGTTTTAGAGTTGTTTTTTTTTTTTTTTTTTCTCTTTCACTCTGGTTAGCAATACTGTTAGGTGGTGGAATACTTTTGATTCTTGAAAGTCCTCTCATATATGAGATCTTTCTGAGGCAAATATTCCATAAACATTTAATTGGGTAACTATAAGATACTCTGTGAGCTGCTTTGAAACCAAGATCCAAACTGAGTAGACAATTCTCAGACGAAGAAGTAAAAATGATAATAAATAATTGCAAAAATATTCAATATGACTGGTCATTCAAGAGATAAAAATTAAAACAACACTGAGATTCCATCTCACCCCAGAAAGAATGGCTGTCATCCAGAAATCAACCAGTGGTGAGGCTGTGGGGATATAAGAATCCTTCTCTATTGTGGGTGGGAGTGTAAATCGATATAAGCACTATGGAAATCATTGGGAACTTCATCACGAAACTAAAACTACGTGGTGCATTTGATCCAAGTACTCTCCTTTTAGGTATCTTCCCAAAAGAATTAAAGTCATCATGCCACAGTGATACATGCACACGTTTATAGCAGCACAATTTGTAATAGTTAAATCTAGGAAACAGCCCAATGAATGGAAAAAGAAAATGTGGTATTTATAAACAATGAAGTACTATTGTAAAATGAAGAATGAACGAGGATTTTTAGGTAAATAAATGCACTTTGAGACCATAATCATAAGAGAAATAAGTAAGACAAACAAGTTTAAATATCACATTGTTTCTCTCCTATGAGAAACCCAGAGTATAAATAAGGAACAAAAGATAAGCTAGATATTAGCAAGTAGAAAGATCTTTTTCAAATGGGAAGGGCAATAATAAATGGGAAAGGAGGAAGGAGAATGGATGTTAAGGAAAATACTGAAGGAAAAAATGGAAATATAATATTTGCCAATGGTGAGAGAAAGAAATCTGGAAACAGGGGAGAGGAAGAGGAAAAACAAATTAAAATGTGTTATATAAACACACAAAATTCCCATGTTGAATGTGATCAATATATACTACAATCATGTACTAATAAAAAGAAGAAAGATCAGATAGGACTCCCCTCTAGGCCACTGAGGCAAGAATATCTGAGGATCAAACCAGCCTTTCTGATCCTATCTCAAAATAAAGAAAAAAAAATAGGATAGGGATATAGATCTGTCCAAGACCCTGGGTTCATTCCCCACTGCAACTCCCTATCCTCAAAAAAACAGGAAAAACTTAAATCTATTTTTGAAATACAAATACTTGGGGAGGTAGGAGCTACCTGAAATTTTAAATTCTCCAGTGAATTCCTAACACAATAAACTTTGAAAACCATACCCAAGATACTTACTTATATGTTTAGATTTTTGCCATTTAATTTTGTCAGTACACTTTTGATACACATACTGATTACATTCATCGTAGAGAATTTGTACCTGTAGATAATGTATCTTGATTATTTTCTTTCTCATTCCCCTTCCCCTATCAATATTTCTTCCCATCCTTATTTGCAAAAGCTTTGTTTCCATATACTTAGATTTAAAAGCTTTGCTAATCATAACCACATAAAATAAGTTAATTTTGAATTTCACTTTGAAGATAGAACTATAAAAGTTCCATTTTCCCCTCATATAAAGCACAACTTAGGAAAAAGCATTTTTCTTACACATGTAACTACTTGAATAAAACTCAGAATGTTCTACTTAATTAGATACACTTATGTAAGCAGTTAACCATTTACAAACATATAGTGTTTGAACTGTCTCATATCAGTTTCGTAGCAATATAATTTTTGTTGAGCAATATTTTTAAATATTGGGAAAATCTATCACAATATATATCTTACTGTGACATTGTTATTGAAATGTCATTTTTGACATGAGTACTTTTTCTAAAATAGTTTCCCTATTAGATGCCTAATTTCAGCCATCCTGAGTATATTGTATTGATGCTCATTATTGAAATATAGAGAATTAGAGTGAATTTCAGCATTTACACATATATAATAGGAGGGTAATACTAAAAAATGAATTTCCCAGCCTAAAAAATTTGCCAATTATGTAAAAGAAATAAAGTTAAATCCCTACGTAAGTCTTGTCTAAAGAACAAAGTATGTTTTTTAATTGTATAGATTCAGACAAGTTAAAAATATAAATCTAATTTTATCCAAAAGCTAAATAACTTAGGAATCATTAATAGTATCTTATTAGTGAATGTAGCATGATTAACATTAAACTAAAGTTGTTTTCAGTACGTCTGTTTCCTGATTCTTAATTTGATAAGTGATCACTCTTGTAATTTCTTTGACAGGCTTATGCAGGCAGGGATCTAGAGGAACAGTTGCGGTCTGTGTCAAGCGTCGACGAACTCATGTCTGTACTCTACCCGGATTATTGGAAAATGTACAAGTGTCAGTTAAGGAAAGGAGGCTGGCAGTACAATAAAGAACAGCCCAATCTGAACACAAGGACAGAAGAGACTATAAAGTTTGCCGCAGCTCATTATAATGCAGAAATCCTGAAAAGTAAGTAACATACAAAAAAATGTGTACTAAACCTCCTATGTCAGGCTAGTGAAAGTTGCCAGCATTTGTATCACTGAATAACCTTAGGCCTTGAAAGTAAAGAAGACAGTAATGAATTGGTTTCAAAATAAAACATTCTGTGATTTAATTTTGAGCGTGGATGATTTCTTAAAACATAAAAGTACATGCACATCAATGTAATTATGTTTAAAATTAAAGTAACATCCTACTGTAAAAATTTTTAAAAATGCATATTTAACACACCAGGTTAGTGACCAATATAACCATTTAAAGGTGGTGAATCTATAAAATATTTCTCTATATAAATTTTCTTTCTAACCTGAATTTACAAATGCTTAAATTCAAAACAAACCCATATCACCTTCGCAAATTGAAATTATTGGCTTGCTGCTCACAGGAAGCTAACATAGAGATGTACTTTGTAAAGCTGATGAAATATCTAGCATGGAATTTCACAGAATTTGGGGTATTGATGACCTAGTTTTAAAAATAATTCTCTTTAGTTATTACATATTACTATAAAGAAGTGATATTGCAACGTTGAAAGCAAAAAAAAATGGCTTATAGTTGAGTAACCAATAATTTATGTCTTTATTTCCTCCGAATTTTATTTTGGAGGAAATGTGAGAGGAATAAGCTAGAACATTGAGGAAGTGCATTTGTAATGCAGGAAACAGTCAGTAATGTTATAGGTAACTTACAAACTCATTGTAAACAATATTCTAAGAGAAAGCACGAAGAGATAGGAAATTTGATTTTCCTGAAAAAAGTTAGTTCAGGATACAGGTCTTAATGGAAAATAGCCTTGCGTTTCACTTAGCCGTGACATTATCCGAAGTTGCCAAAGAGCCTGCCTGAAAATGATTTTTGAGTTGAGTCCAAAACCATTGTTCTTCTCTCATTTACAATCTCAGTTTAAAATAAAAATATAATTATATTGTTTACATGTGCTCTAAAACCAGAAAATGCTGTGTACTGTAGAAAATGAGTGTGACTATTTCTACACATCTTATAAACATCCATATGTAAGCTCCCATTTTTAAAACAAGAAAAACCAAACGTAAGTGCTGCAGGAGAATGGTGCACTTTTAAAAGCTTAATCCTGATTTTGCATTTGGCTGCAGAAATGAGTTTCAGAAAGAAAACCTTAATTCCCGTTCACAATCCAGTTTAAGATCCTGGCAACCATTTCTCTACATTTACGCATTATGTTTTAGTGTGATGTCAAATGCAGGTAACTTCCAACTTCTCTGAACTTTCTCCCATGGTGGTTTCTGAATAACTGAAGGACTTCCCTGTGATTCCACAGGTGTTGATAATGAGTGGAGAAAGACACAATGCATGCCGCGGGAGGTGTGTATAGATGTGGGGAAGGAGTTTGGAGCAGCCACAAACACCTTCTTTAAACCTCCATGTGTGTCCGTCTACAGATGTGGAGGCTGTTGCAACAGTGAGGAGCTGCAGTGCACGAACACCAGCACGGGCTACCTCAGCAAGACGGTAGGTGTTTCCTCCCAGGAGCCCTTTCAGGGAGGAACATGGCTGTGGGAGGAGGGGGCTTAGACTTCTGATTGCATTAAAGTAATTTAGCTCGAGTCAGAATTTCTTATATTTTCCTAGGAGAATAGAGTAATTCCACATTTTGTATTCCTAATGATACATTTTTACAAAGAATGTAATTGATGCTTTATGGACTGTTTTCATATAGCAGAGTCAAAGCTTGTTGGAGAAAATAATAAATATACACATATATACATACATGTATGCATCCTGTGTATGTGTGTGTTGATCTTCAAGAGTAAATTTTCATTTGGCAATAAAATAGTTTTAAATGGTTAAAACTTCTTTCTAGCTATAGAGCTTAGCACAAAATTCCACATGCCAAACTCCTAAGCAAAATATAGCCATGTATTCTGTAAAACAGTGATGTAGTGTTGAAATAAGTCAACAGTGAAACAAATTTATGTGTCCCTTCAGCAGCAATGGAGATAATTCTGACATTAAATCTTCAGTATTTTGAGTAACCTGTGAAGTCCATCGCATTGGATATCAAGCTGCTAATAAATAATCAATAAACTTTTTATCCAGTGGTTGGACTGGTCATGGCTTTTCAAAGCTGGTTTGTGTTTCTGTCTTGGGCAGAAGAGGAGGCTGGCTCTGGGAGATAGGCTTGTGCACCCAAGGCCCCTGTGAGAGTTGTTTGCAGTCGTGTGTGCTGTTGGCCTCCATAGAGGTTGAAGTAATCTAAGACAAAACTGAAGTTGTTCTAATAGCGTTCCCAAGCTGTTTTCAATTAAACCATCATCGGTTGTTTGACTACATTCAGAATTATCCTTTGACCATTAGAGTGAACTGTTTTAAATGGTGTGAAATTTGATTTGTATGAGATACAGTGTTAGAAAATTTAATTCTATACACATTAGCTGACCTACATGGTCAGAAATTTACAATATAGAGTAGTGTATTATAATATAATATAATATAATATACAATATAGTGTAGTATATTATAAATAAAAGTTAAGATTACTACCATAATACTTTCAATTGCATGTTCGGCCTAGTTGAAAATTGGTCTTTATGACTAATTTAAAGCTATGTGCAAAGGCACTGGGGCCGAGAGAACACAACGGTTCCCAAGAACTGAGGAAGCCTACAATGCTGTTAATGTAAAAATTAAAGGAATAGTTATGTTAGAGGAAGATATAGGCCAGATATTCAAAGCTATGATAAACATGTTGCTCTTATTCTAAAAGCAGTGGAAATTAGGGGTGGAGAGTGGCACATTCCTATCATCTTAGCACTTAAGAGGTTGAGACAGGAGGATCATCAGTTGCTTAGCAGCCTGAACAATTTAGAAACATCACAAAATCTCATCTTGAAATAAGACACGGAAAGGTCTGTAGATGCAGCTCTGTTCAAAGGCACTGGTTCATTTCCCAGGACCATAGATTAATTACTTTAACAAGCAATGCACAATCACTGAAGAGCCTTGATGCTGGAGACTGAGAGCATCGGGTTTGAGTTTCTTACAGTATCACATCTGCTGGGGATATTGTAGAGGATTTATCAGAAAGAGACAAGCAGGACAGGATGTTCTGTGATTAGATGGGAAGCGCCAAAGGGATTTTGTAGTACTGTGATGCCATGGACATGGAGATTAAAGATACTGAAGGGAGTGGGATTAATATTTGTTCCAAAGCTCCTCTCATCCAACTTCATATACTCTCCTTGTGTTTTGTCATCTATCCTTTCTGTTCTTTATAGTACTGACTTCTGAATCCTCATCTTCAATTTAGACTTCACTCCTGTTTTCCATCATACAATATCTACTGAAACTTGATTTTCCCAAGATGGGTCACAGTCAGTCTGTCCTGTAATAGAATAATGAAATATCCTCCTCTTTTCCAATTAAACCAACAAGTAAATGAATCTTTTTGGTCTTTGTTGTCTGTTTCCACAATGTTCTCTGTCTTAGTAAGTGACACTGTCACATATGCATTCAGTAAGCCTATTTTATTCTTTTAACTAAAAGCTGTTAAGTGAACTGTACCTTCCAGACATCACTAGGACATGTATGGAATCTTCATTCTGTTGATCCCACTGTGGTGTGGGTCACATTTATCTTTCATCTGCAGCATTGTACCTGGACCAGCCTAGTAACTGGTCTCATAGTTTGATTTTTCTCTCCCTCCAATGTTTTTGCCACATTGAGATTTCCTAAAAATATGTCAGAAGCATTGATGCCAAGACTGAGCCAGCCCTTAACAAATATATTCGTAAGTTAGTATTTGTTAATTGGGTTGATTAAACAGTTGTCTTTTGATTGGTATAAATGCTGTCAGTTATTAAGTATTTTGAATGCACCCTTCTTTAAGACAAAAATCAGTTCATGTAATTTACTGGTCCTTCCATGATGTAACCGCTCCATAAATCTCTGGCTTCATTTTTCACAGTATTTCTCCTCAAAAACTGCTCTTACCAGTACTGAAATTCTGTTAGCTTTGAGATTTGGCCTACATTTCACTTTCAAGTCACTACAAACTGTGTTTGAAGTGTTTCCTCACCCTCAAACACAGATATCCATTTATCTCGTTGATTTCTACTCATCTTAGGTATCGAGATAAATGACACTTCTATTACATCCTGTTGTATTTTCCTGTAGCATACTCTGCTGCCCGTATATTAACACCATTATGGCATCTGTCTGTTGGATTGTTTTATTCCCTAGGCTCTAAATTCCATGAATGCAAAAATGATGTTTGGTTATTAACCTGGGGCATAGTGTAATAGTTGGCACATAGTAAACACTTAGAACTGAGCAGAATGAATACTTAAATAGAAGGAAACACATCAAAGATCAAAGGTAGAGTTATGAATTTGCTAATTTTGAGAGTTTATATATTATGTCCGTACAGAAGGCAGAAGAATGTTGGACATGTGATTCACAAAATATAGGGAAATGATTGGGTCTTATAGTACTAGCAGGAAGCATCGTATTGATAAATATTATTTGAAACCTTAATAAATTTGTTAACAGAAGGTTCATTTACCAAGAAAGAAGAGCAAAAACTAGTGGCAACGAAAAACCAACACTCATCATTCATTGTCCCATTCATTTTTATCTTCAGTTTTGTAATGGTATGTTTTTCTGCCCTAAGAATCCACTCAGATGTTTTTATTTGTAGTAAAAGAATAATTTTAATTTTAATTTAGCTAAGTGAGTTACCTAAGTTTTACAATAGATAAGCAGCAATTTAGAGACACTGCCTTCATATTTATTGAGTAATTAGTAGTATAAACATCATGAAACCAAAGAACAAAAGTTTATGGAAATGCATTTAAGGAGGTTTACAAACCAAAGGTGGATGGAGGAGGCATGAAATTCCTGATGGCACAAGGTGAGTTGCTTCCTTCTTCCTAAAAATTGCAATTTGCAAAAACTCATACTTAAATAACACCTTTTTCTGCATTAAATTGAATGATTATATGTAATGTAATTTAAAATGGGAGTGTATGAGATTTTTTTCCAATATAAAAGGAAGTTTCTTATTACTAAATTTTCTTGAAGTAAAAAGTTTTTATTTCCTACTAGAAGTTCCAGGCATATTTTGTAGAGGAATCAAAGTCAATAGTTAAAGTCAAATAAATTGTAAGGACAATGTAACTTAAGTAATGGTCTTTTATAAGTACTTCACAGAAATGTTTTTTTTTACAAAGCTCAGTGGACGCAGGTTGTTATCAGAATGTGTGAGGAAGCCAGCTGCTAGTTGGAAAGTGAAACCATATGCTGTAAGCATTCCAAAGTGAAGTAATCAATAACAACTGCTTCAAAGTCTGCTTCCACAATAATACCTAAGTGGCTTTGAAAACTCACTCAATTGGATGTCTTCTTGACCTCTGTCGTAAACATGCTTTAAGTGTATTTTCTTATGAGAAGCTGTATATTTAGGAGATAAAACTGAAAAATAGAAAGGAAGTTTTATTGAAGGTCAGGATTTGGTGTAGAAAGTAGAAACAGAAGAAAATCATGTGTAAAAGCCACATATTTGGACTAAAAAGTTATTTGAACATTACTCTTTATCTTACATATTTTGCTAAAGATAAGAATAAAAAAAAGGATACTAAGTCCATGAAGTCTCTTTAGAAGTCCTTAGAGTTAGCACTCAAGACAATAAAATATATTTGCAGAGTCTAAAGAAACCAGCATAGCTTCCATGAGCTCTTAGTTAAAAGTTCTACATTTCCGCCTCAACAAGAAAGCTATTTCTTTTTTTCATTATTTTGTAAAGAAATGATAAGTACAAAGATATTACCAAAGGCACTCCCATTTATGTGTGACTTAAATTGAGTGCTTATGAAACTTTACAACAAAATATATTTAAACCAAAGTAAAACATGGAACTATATTATAAATTTATGAAGTATTATGTTGCACTTCAGAGATATTCCTTCTATTAATTAAACAGAATGGTGTAGTAGTGTGAAACATTAATTTATTCTTCTCATGTAATCAGCAAATGGAATGTGACTTATATTGTATCCTTAGCAAGTGAATATTTGGCCACCACAGTTGTTGGGAATCATGTTTTGTCCTGCTTAGAAGAACTTTATTATCACTAATAAATAGTTATCAGAAGTTTCAGGAATAACATTTGCCTTAAGAAAATATTTGGTGTCTATGAAAAATACCACTTTTGTATATCTAAAGGTACTAATATGATTTGCAGATTCTATGCAGTGTTTCTAAAATTCCTGAACTGAACTTTTAACTTCAGCGCAGCTCTGTATGTGCATCTTATGTGTAACTACACTAATATTAAATCAATGGTAGACGTAGATCTTTGAGTCCGTTTGCTATCCAGTGTTGTTTCCAGACCCAATTTAAGTCCCGTAGGCCCTTCTTCATAGCTAGCTGTCCATGTGGATGAAGTGCCCAGCTCAAATGCTGATATGAGCTGTCACTTTTCACCTTTTCCTAATTTGAGGGGTTATTCCTTT